TACAATGGAATATTACTCAGCCATAAGAAGAGATGAAATACTGCCATTTGCAACAATGTGGATGGACTGCGAGATAATCATTTTAAGTGAAATAAGCCAGACTGAAAAAGTAGAAAATCACATGATATCATTTATATGTGGGATATAAACCTAAAAGCAACAAATGAACAAGACAAATGACTTGTTGGACATGTACTATAGACTAGTCGTTACCAGAGGCTCATGGACATGTACTATAGACTAGTCGTTACCAGAGGGTAGGGGATGGCAGAGGAGTGGGGAGGTAGATTGGGTAAAGGGGGTCAAATATAGGGTTTAGGAGGAGGGCGAAGTGGGTAAAGGGGATCGAATATATGGTAGCTGAAGGAAACTGGACTTTGGGTGGTAAACACACAATAGTATATACAGATGTCAAATTATAACGTACACCTGAAAATTATATAATTGTATTAATCAATGTACCCCAATAAACTTAATTTTTAAAAAGTTTTTAAAAATAAAATAAAATTAAAAAGAAAATGTAATATTCAAATTGGTATATAATATGATGTTTATGCTTTAATTTTTTGAAAATAGTATACCATGAGAAGACTGGAAGGAAATATACTGCTATGTTCAATGGTGAGAATCTTTGGGTAGCAACAATATTTCATTTCCTTTCTTCTCTATATTTTGCATATTGTCTATTCTATGTCAGCAGAATGCAGGACAGCCAAGTGTTCATGAGAGCCTGGGCTCAGTCCTTCAGATCTCCGGGTCTGCCTCTTACCAGTCATGTAACCTCAGACAATAACTCCGAGGCTATTTCTCTTCTGAAAAATAGGGATAATAGTATCATTCACCTCACATGATTGCTGTAATGATTAAATGAGTAAATGTATGTAATGTACCTAGCAACACACACACACATACACATACACATACATAGCCCAGCTTTCACCATCTTAGGAAAAAATCCTTTGAAGTGACAAAAGTTAAACATTTAGAGTGTTAATACATTTCACCACTCTTATTCAATAATTAGAAATGATATCATGATTTCTAGGAAAGAACTAATGTAATGATGGGAGAAAAAACATGATGATAGTTATTTTTTAATATTCATATTTAATATAACAAATTATTTTCTCTTTTAAAACACCAGAATTTTATAACAACATATCAAAAGTTATTTTGGAATTTGAGAAATTGATACTAGATGAGCTGTGTTCAAATGATACTTTTTTATATAAATACAGTGAGTGGCAACATAATGTATGACATATAAATAAATGTATTACAAGAAATGGTGAAAGATCTTGTCTACCCCACAAAGATGTCGACATTAGGTTTCACATCTGGTCTCAGAGCTCACTGTAACACACCCCTGAACATTTAAGATGCAGGCCTTTACTTCCAGGATAAACACAACTCTGTAAGCCAATATCTTTTCCCTTTCTCCTAGAAATTATGGGGAGAAATGAAAATGAAAAAGAAAACACAAATACCTTCAGCTAAATTAGGAGACAAAAATAACATCCAGATAAGAGCTGTCAAGAACAGCTGAGATGGTCTGCAGCCATGCTACCCTGAACGTGCCCAATCTCATCTGATCTTGGAAGCTAAGCAGGATCGGGCCTGGTTAGTACTTGGATGGGAGACCACCTAGGAATACTAGATGCTAAAAATACCAGGTGTTAAAAAAAAAAAAAAAGAGCAGTTAAGATAGAGCAGAAACTGTGCGGAAGAAAGCACAGAGAGTGAGCACCTGGAAGGGCTCAGAGGGCTGAGCAGGTATTAGGAAGAGGGGGCCTCTGAAAGTCAAAGGTGAGCCTGGTTAGCCATGATGGATTCTGGTATCTCAGTAACAAGGGCTATAGCAAAGTCTGCCTACTTGGTTTAGCAAGGCAAGAGTGGAGGGCTTCCCAAAGCATTACCCAGAACAAACTTACCCGTAGGCACTGCTCTCTGCAGCAGCAGAGAAGAGAGCCTTGAGCTGTGAAGCACAGCCTTTCCCTTCCCTGCCTCCCACAGGAAACGCCTGTACACATCTGGTCTCCTCCTTCTAGTGGAGCATAACAAAAAGAAAGCTAGCACACAACATCCTAACATGGCATGGAAGAAAGAGCTGAACCAATCAAGAGATGAAAAATACTAAAAATGTTATCATGGAATACATGAAAATTGTGATCCAATATTTCACCATGAATTTATTTCTATGTATATAATATGTATACATGAAGCCATCATCTCCATGAAGGAAGGAAACAAAGCAGAAATTCAAAAACTCAAGTGAGATGGCAAGACAACAGGAAGAAATGGAATCCCCAAAACTCAGGAAAGTAGAAAAAAAATCACAGAAGATAAAATGGGTAGAAGCTCAGTGAAGAAAATAAATAATGGAACTCACTGTGAGAAACCAGAGAAAGTGAACACAAACAGAAATAAAGTATTTAAAATATTAGTGGGAAAAGGATAGATCAGGAGACAGACAAAGGCAATCTATCATACTTATACATAAAATGCTTCGCTGAGAAAAGCAGCCACTTTCTGTCTTGGTTTTCCCATACTAATATAAGGATACTAACAGACCCTGCTCCACAGGGCTGGGATGAAGATGCAGTGTTTTAAAATTGATAAGAGGCTGGAACAGTGCCTGGCACATACCAAGCAATGTCTAAGCATTTGTTGAATTTTAAAATAATAATTAAGCAATGGAAACAGAGACAGAAAGTAGACTGGTGAATGCTAGGGGCTAGGGGAAGGAAGAATAGGAATTTATTGTTTAACGGGGGCAGAGTTTCAGTCTGTAAGATGAAAAGAGTTCTAGAGATGGCTGCACAATGATGTACTTGACACAACTGAACTGTACATTTAACAGTGGTTAAGATGGTCAATTTCATGTTAAGTATCTTTTAGTACAATTTCTAAAACTACTGTTTACCTTTACTATAGGGTTTTTTGTTTTGTTTTGTTTGCTTTGGTATAGTGCATGGGGGAGGGTAATGGTAAGTTATACTCTGAAAGCCAATTACCTGGAATCTAAAAAGTCAGGAATAGCAGGAAATTTCTTTAAAATTCTCTCTGAATTCTCTGAGAATGCTCCTCCACTTGACAGTCTCTTTTCTCTACAAAAGGAGGTAAATTAGCTCCTGAGGGGACAACCTCTCTTCCCAAACTGGAGAGGGGCCTGAGGAAACTGGACACTGACAAATGCTGGAAACAGATGATGGGAGCACAGAGGCATGGAACGGATCAGGAAAAGAACTTTCTCTGAGGCCCCAGGTGATGCTGGAAACCATGCACTTTCCAAACCAAAATAGTCAAGGGTTTCGGGGCAGTTTCCGAGTGGGAGAGGTCGACTTCAAAATGCTAGAATTTCTGGGACATTGTGATGGATAGAGGAGACAAGATGGCATACTTAGGATTTGGGACTCTCTCCTCAGAGTCAGAACATGTGATCACTGAAATGGTATTAGACTGGCAGGCCACACTCTGAGCATTTCATACTAAGAAAAACTTTTTTGTATGCTTTGCAGGATTAGGAACATGGTACTTGCTGAAAATGTAAGCTATGCAGCCAGATATGTTTTCCTTTTAAACTAAGTTGCCAAAAAAAGGCAGGCCATTTACAGTAACTGGCACTCCTTGAAGAGGTGGTGACATCTCACACTTTACCTTGATTGATTCATTGCCCACTAGAATAATCTTGTAAATTATTTCCAATAGGCATGGCATACATCCTGAATTAATTTTTTTCCCTAGATTAGCATCAACCTTGCTTATCAACTGGCATTTTTTCAAATTCTTGATGTCCAATTCACCACGGAATCAAGGTGTAAGTTATTACCTAAAGCCATGCCTGCAATGAGTTCCAGGGAATCTCTCCCTGGCTCTGCTTTGAGGCACTAGGATCTGAATCTACAAAGTGTGGATCACACTTTGTGACTCCGCCCCCTGCCTTTGATTCTATCTGACAAAACTGCCTCCTGCTCAGTCTCCGTGCCCTTCCTCCGAGAGTTTCTCAACACCATTATGTAAACAAGAAACTTTCAAGTAGCTATATCCTTCAGCTTCTCCCCTGTCCCCAAAGAGGAGTTCTTACCTCATAGTGAAGCTAGAAATCTTTGTGTTGAGTACTAAAAATGAGCAAGAAGGTAGAGGTAGATGGGCTTCCTCAGACTCCTAACTACCCCTGCTTCCTTCCTGCCTCTCTCAGCGCCATTTACTCAGTTAACTTTGGTACTTTGCAATTTCATCAGCCCCCCCAAAACTCCCATCTCTTGGCTTTCTGAGTAACTGTCTAGTACTGTTTTTCCTAATCATGGCCCCATTTGTCACTGATTTTGGACTTCATTTTCTATGCCTGTTAAATTGATCACATTTTCTGATCACATTCCTTGAATGAAAGGCAGGTTCATTCAGCCTCCACAGAGGTTCCTGTGAGGCCCCGGCCCCACACAGGCAGGTCAACTCCGCAAGTGCATCTACAAGCATTGCTGTCACTGATGGGCAGGCCAGCAGAAAACCTCATCATAGCAGGCGTCCTCACCAGAGTGTCCAGCTAACCTGGACAGCAGAGCAGCTCTGCCCTGCCAAGAACTAAGTCCTGTGCTGACACACCCAGGGCCATGTCTCTGGAAGGTTCCCAAGTTTGTAAACACATATCACTTAGGTCACTTGCCTAGGTGATAAATTATGCCTAGTTACTAAACTGATAAATTCTCCATTAATATCCATGAACTCTGTCCTTGTACTACATAAATAAAAAAGACACAGTCCCTACCTAGTGCTTTACTTCCTAAGGATATGGGTCACCCAAAGTTATTAAGATACTGTTCCTTTTTCATTCCAAGTACCTGGAGGGGGTTTTCCTTTTAGTTTCCTTGAATTCCAAGTCATTGTACTGTCACCATCCCTTCGGGGGAACTCAGGAAATTCCACACACTCTGTTCTCTCTGCAAACGCGTGGAATCTGTAATATGAAGAGATTTGCAACAGTAGGCTGGAAGGAAGGTAGTGTTTGCAGGTGTCCACACACTCTTCCAACACCATGAATATGCTCTTCCGCGGGTGCCTAGCATTACAAACGTTTCACCACTTCCCCTGTACCTTCTCTGTCCCCGCAGAAAGATGACAGGGAGGTGGGAGAGAACAGGGAACTGTGGATGCATTGGGATGTTAACTGCTGACCCTTCACTTCAGTACAGGGTAACAACTCAACCAGATGGTATTTCTTGACCCTGGAAAAAAGACACCCTGGGCTTATGCTTATCCTCTGTGCTCAGGATTCAATGATGGCAGTACAGTTTCACAGGCCAAGTCTAAAGAGACCCCACAGTGCCTGCAGGCCTGTGGTCAATGTTGAAAGCAGACGACAACAGGCACCGTTGCTTACCTGCTGATGACTGACAGGCTGCAGTCAACTTTAACTAGCAAATACACACTTCCCCAGGACCTAAGTGTAGCACTAATGGAAAAAATTCTTGTATGGACAGGCTTTTAGGACCTGACTCCTCTAAGTGTGGTCCCAGGAGCAGCGCCAGGTCTGGGAACTGGTTACAGTGTGCGTTCCTGCACCCACCTGGATGTGAATCTGAATCTGCACTTGAATGAGCTCCCCAGAGTGCTGGTGTACACAGGCAGCTGCCAACCATGAATTGCTCTATACCTCCTACCAGGTGGCCCCAGGCCTGGCACAAGTCTGCACCAGAGCCGCTCGCAAGAGGCCTGAGAACAAACATATCTGGTAGCTGGCTTTAGACTACACCAGAGCACTACCCAATCAGCTCTACAAATGATACACCCAAAAGGTGGTCTTGGCAGGCACCAGAGCCCCATTGGGGTGGATCCGACTCTGTGGGGTCAGCTCCCACATAGCAGCTCATCAACTACAGTTGTAGCCAGTCTTCACAGCCAGTCAGCCCAAGAGTTAACTCCACTCACTGATGTGCCAACATCAATCGATGCTCAACGACAACCGGAGGGCACAAACAACCCACACAGGTGACACTCCTAGAGCGCTGACTCGGGTAACCAGGATGACTGTGCCAGTGGGACTCACAGGACACCTACTACATAAGGTCCCTCTAAGAAGACTGGAAGATGTATCAGATCTACCTAATACATGGAAACAAACACAGAGAGGCAGCCAAAATGGGGAGACAAAGAAACATGTCCCAAATGAAAGAACGAGACAAAACTCCAGAAAAAGAACTAAACAAAATGCAGGCAAGCAATCTAGCAGATGAAGAGTTCAAAACACTGATTATAAGGATGCTCAATGAACATATGAGAAAAATAAATGGGTCCCAGTAAGAACTTCAACAAAGAGATAGGAAACATAAAAAAGAAGATAGAAAACAAAAAGAACCAGTCAGAAATACAGAATACAATACCTGAAATGAAGAATACATTAGAGAAAATCAACATTAGAGAAAATCAACATCAGATTAGAAGAAGTAGAGGACTGAATCAGTGATCTGGAAGGCAAGGTAGCAGAAAACACCCAATCAGAACAGCAAAAATAAAAAGAGTTTTAAAAATTGAGGATAGTTTCAGGGGCCTCTGGGACAACATCAAGAATACCAATATTCACATTATGGGAGTACCAGAAAGCAAGGAATTGAAATCCTATTTGAAGAAATAACAAATGAAGATTTCTTTAATCTGGCAAAGAAAATAGACATACAAGTCCAGGAAGCACAGAGAGTCCCAAACAAGATGAACCTAAAGAGGCCCACACCAAGACCCATCGAATTAAGATGTCAAAGAGAGAAGACAAAGAGAGAATCTTAATAGCAGCAAGACAAAGATGTTCACTTTTGTCACTTTTATTCAATATATTATTCAGGTCCTAGCTACTGCATTCAGATAGGAAAAAGAAATAAAAGGCATTCAAATTAGAAAGGAAGAAGTAAAACTGTCATTATTTGAGGATAACATAATACTATATAGAGAGAATTCTAAAGAGTCCACCAAAAAACTATTAGAACAGATAAATGAATTCAACAAAGTAGCAGAATATAAAATTAACATTCAGAAATTGGTTGCATTTTATATACCAATAATAAACTATCTGAAAAATAATTTAAGAAAATAGTCCCATTTATAATTGCATCAAAAAAATCAAATAGCTAGGAATATATTTAACCAATGAGGTAAAAGACTTATACTAGGAAAATTATAAGATGTTAAAAAAAAGAAACTGAAGAAAATACAAATAAATGGAAAATATACCACGGTCAGGGATAGGAAGAATTAACATTATTAAAATATCCATACTACTGAAAGCATTCATCTACTCATAGATTCAATGCGATCCCTATCAAAATACCAATGGCATTTTTCACAGAACTAGAACAAATAATCCTAAAATTTATATAAAACTACAAAAGGCCCCAAATAGCTGCAGAGATCTTGAGAAAGAAGAACAAAGTTGGAGGTATCGTGTTCCCTGATATCAAACTATACTACAAGGATATAGTTATCAAAACAGCATGGTATTTACATAAAAACAAACACATAGATCAATGGAAGAGAATAGAGAGCCCAGAAATAAACACACATTTATATGGTCATTTAACCTATAACAAAGGAGTCAAGAATATACAATGAAGTAAAGACAGTCTCTTCAATTAATGGTGTTGGGAAAACTGGACAGATACATTAAAAAAATGAAACTACATAACTTTGTTATACCATATACAAAAATTAACTCAAAATAGATTAAAGACTTACATGTAAAACCCAAAACCATAAAATTCCTAGAAGAAAACATAGATAATAAACTCTTTGACATCGTTCTTAGTAACATTTTTTAGGCTACATCTCCTTGAGCAAGAGAAACAAAAGAAAAAAATTAACAAATGAGACTCCATCAAACTAAAAAGTTTTTGCACAGCAAATGAAACCATCAACAAAATGAAAAGATAACCTATACAATGGGAGAATATATTTGCCAATGATACATCCAATCAAGGGTTAATATCCAAACTATATAAAGAACTCATACAACTTAACACACACACACACACACACACACACACACACACACACACAATCTCATAAAAAATGTGCAGAGAACCTGAATAGATATTTCTCCAAAGAGGACATACAGATGGCCAACAGACATATGAAAAGATGTTCAAAGTCACTAATCATCAGGGAAATACAAATTAAAACCACAACAAGATATTATCTCACACCTATTAGAATGGACATCATCAATAAATCAACAGACAACAAGTGTTTGGTGAGGATGCAGATAAAAGGGAACCCTCTTCACTGCTGGTGGGATTGCAAATTGGTACAGCTACTATGAAAAACAGTGTGGAGATTCCTCAAAAAAATTAAAAATAGAACTACTTATGACACAGCAATTCTACTTCCAGGTATTTATCTGAAGAAATCCAAAATACTAATTCAAAAATATGTGAATCCATATGTTCACTGCAGCATTATTTACAATATCCAAGATATATAAGCAACCTAGGTGTCCACCAATAGATGATTGGATAAAGAAGATGTGGTACATATACATAATGGGGATTTACAGCCATAAAAAAGAATGAAATCTCGCCATTTGCAGCAACATGGATGGACCTAGAAGGTATTATGCTAAGTGAAATAAATCAGCGTGGAATCTAAAAAAACATAATAAATGAACAAACAAAACAAAAACAAACTCATAGGTACAGAGAACAAATTGATGATTGCCAGATGGGAGGGGTATTGGAGGACTGGGTGAAAAACAAAGGGAATAAGAAATACAAATTAGTAGTTACAAAATAGTCATGGGATGTAAAGTACAGCACAGGGAATACAATTAGTAATGTAATAACTATGTATCGTGTCAGATGCATCCTAGACCAATGCGGGGGGTGGGGATCATTTCGTAAGTTATATAAATGTCTAACCACTATGTTATACGCCTGAAACTAATACAATATTGTATGTCAATTTTAATTGAAAAAGAAAAAACAAACAAAAAAAGAGTGCTGGTGTAGTGCATGGTTGATGGGCTAAGTCCCACCTAAAGCCAATGATCTAGAATCTAAAAGGCACTTTCTTTTGGACGGAGGTCTCTGAGTAATGGTCCCTCTGCCCCTCCAGAGAGACCTGTTGCCACTTACTTAACCTAAAGAGAATCCTGAAGCATAGGTGAAGGTGGACAGATAGGTAGGCCAGTGGCAGGAGAGGTGTGAGCCTCTCCTGGGCCATGGAAAGCCTTTGTCATGTCTATTTCTAAAGGTTTTTAGTTGACATCAGGATGATGGCTTCACGGTAGTGAATAAGCCAGCCTCTTGCTGGGACCTCCTCCAAAGCAGAAATGGCCAGCATCCTTGCAGAGCAGAGAAAATATGCTGAGGTTTATCCTGGCAGCCCCGACCCTGAGTGCCGACGCATTTGGTGCCCAGGATGTGTTTTCCAGTTTAGGAAAGAGAACAAGGCAGACATCCTTTCTGGCTAATACAGCCTCACTTGGGCAGAAAGTAAATCACCTTTAAGATGGGATCTTTGGGGAGGCTGGAGAGGACAGCATTGTGCCTGGTGGCTCATGGCTCTGGCCCAGACACAGCCCTGAGCACAGGGGGACCCAGAGTCCAGCCTCCCTGCAAGCTGAGATGCCCAGGACATGCCCTTACAGTTGGATAATAAATAAATGTACGTCAGCTGGGCCTCAGCAGCGGAAGATGCAGAGGTCAAGCAGGAGCCACAGGGGCCTGGCAGGCACCAAGTAGGCAGGAGCACCGCAGCTGTGCGCTGAATCACTTTTAAGGGCCAGAGCAAGGGCAGGAGGGCTGTCTACACCTTGTCCTCTTCTCCAAAACTCCTACTCTGTGGTACATGGCCTAAAAGTCAGGAGTTAACCTGGAGTATTCAGTTGCTAAAAGTTAAACTGCTAAAAATCAGAGTAAATCCCCTGGCCTCTTGCTGGCCCAGAGAAAGTGCCCCCTTAGGTGGGCAGAGGACAAACAAGAGAGGCAGCCCTACCAGTTGACTTTTTCTCTCTCCACTGGTACAAGAGGGGCAGTGAGCCCCTTCAGTATTTAGAGGGGCTCAGGAACCCAGAATGGAAGCCAAGACTTCAAAGTGCTCTAAGAGAAACCAGAGTGTGGTCCTCAGAATCACCAGACTCTTGTTAAAAAATGCACATCCCTGGCTCTCACTAGAGCCAAATGGTCGGACTCCAGGGCACTATGGCCAAGACCTCTGCATTTAGTCAAGTTCCCTCAGGAATTCCTACACAGCGTGAAGGGCGAGATCACATTCCTGGGACCCCTGGACCATGTGCAACCAGCCTGCACGGTGAAGCCCAGGCCTCTGATGACCAGTGAGCCGTCACACAAGTATGATGAGCAACTCGACCTAGAAACTCACAAGCAGCGACCATGCTCACGTCAGCCGAGCTAGTCCAGGAAATGACCCAACCATGCCCCTTGTAATAGCATAAGCAGTTGGTCTTTTTCCATAAGGGACCTAAACTCACATACATACAGATGGGGCAGTGAAGTATGGTTTAAAATGTAGGTGTCATTATTTTCAGGTATGATGAGGCCAACAGATTAGTGCAACTGCCATTGAAAAGTGTTTGCTACTCATAGTTTCTGCTATGGACTGAATTATGTCTCCCCCAAAATTAATATGTCAAAGCCTTAGCCCCTACTGTGACTGTATTTAGAGACAGGGCCTGTAAGGGGGTGATCAAGGTTAAACGCAGTCATAAGAGTAGGGTCCTGATCCTACTGGATTAGCGTCCTTTTAAAAAGACCAGAGAACTTAGATGTGCTTGCTGCCCCCTCTCTGTCCCCTCCCTCTCTCTCCCTCTCTCACTCTTTCTCTCTCATAAAAGGACACAACAAGAAGGCAGCTGTCTACAAGCCAGGAAGAGATCTCTCACCAGAAACTGAATCAGCAGGCACTTTGACCTTGGACTTCCAGCCTCCAGAACTATGAGAAAATACATTTCAGCTGTTTAAGCCACCCAGTCTGTGGTACTTCGTCATGGCAGCCTGAGTTAATACACTATCTATGGAGACCAGTCTTAGGAGGCCCCTTAGTGTGCTCATGTTGGGGAGACTGTGTTTGTCTCATTTACCCTGTGCTCCCAGGCCATAGCCCAGTGCCTGGCCTATAGCATAGTCAATCAGTGTTTCTGGGATAAGTGAATGTGCTATGGACTGAATTATGTCTCCCCCAAAATTAATATGTCAAAGCCTTAGCCCCTACTGTGACTGTATTTAGAGACAGGGCCTGTAAGGGGGTGATCAAGGTTAAACGCAGTCATAAGAGTAGGGTCCTGATCCTACTGGATTAGCGTCCTTTTAAAAAGACCAGAGAACTTAGATGTGCTTGCTGCCCCCTCTCTGTCCCCTCCCTCTCTCTCCCTCTCTCACTCTTTCTCTCTCATAAAAGGACACAACAAGAAGGCAGCTGTCTACAAGCCAGGAAGAGATCTCTCACCAGAAACTGAATCAGCAGGCACTTTGACCTTGGACTTCCAGCCTCCAGAACTATGAGAAATTTCTGTTGTTTAGGCCCTAAGTCTATGGTACTTGGTTATGGCAGCCCGAACTGACTATACAATGCCGAAGAGGGGGGCCACGCCACTCAAAAAGGGCCACACAGGGAAGCATTGGGGCTGGTCAGGAGGCAGAGGGAACAAAGGGAAAACATGAGAGAGAGTCTGTATCGTGGATCCTGCAGGAAGGAATGGGTAAAGCAGAGTAAGCAGGCTTAGCACTGGCTAGTTTGAATAATTTCTACAGGTTCTAGGGTATACAGGCTGTCCCCGAGTCATCTGGTGTCCAGCGACGGGGTGACTAGGGAATAGTGGTCCTGAGAGTGAGCCTGTGGGCTCTGGATTAGTTTGCATGTGAAAGGTGTGCTGCTGGGTGAGTTGTTCACTACCTCTTAGAATTAGCCAGCCCTGGGAAGGGTGGTCTCTGTGCAGTCTGCAAGGTTCCAAGATGTCTAAACATTCAAATTACAGAAAATAAAAAGGCAAGATTAGTACAGGACAGAGAAGGAAAGTGCTTGGAGGCTAAAGACTGTGAGCAAGATGGGAAGAATACAACAGCAGATGGGTTCTGACTATGAAAGACCCAAGGCCCACAGGGGATCCTGTGGGAGCAGGCAGCTCATTCTCTGTCCCACCAGAGCACGTTTCTGCCTACCTGCCACGGGCCTTGGCACTCAGATCCTTTAAGAAAGCTACAGTGCCTTCTCCTCTGGCATTGAAGGACACGGTGCAGACAGGACACGGGATTTCCAAAGTCATCTGGACGAGAAGCTGCTTAGACTCCTCAGGAACGTCCCCCACCACAAAGTAGTAAATGGAGTCAATCTGCAAAACAGCAAACCAGCAGTTTATCTCCTGATATGCCCAGCCTTGTCCTGGACTTAGGGACTATATACTATCTACAGCACTGCCTTTAAATAAAGGGCAGTAAAGGCGGCACTGCTCACTCTCCTGTGTGGACATTTAGGGGCCAAAGTCAGGAAGTGAGACACTCAAGGGATGGTGCCAAGCAGGTCTCCTGGCGGTGGGTATAGTCTCGGGTTCGCATGGAAAGGACGTGGCGGGTAGACTTGGAGAAGCGCTTCCTCCAAGTGCATGAGTATATCATATCGGTCAAGAACAGGTGTTTTCAACACGAAGGAAACACTGGCACAGGCAAGTGGGTGGGGAGCTCATTAGCCATTTCCCATGGCAGAGCCAGAATTTCACAGTGCCAACTCCTCCATCCTCACTCTGAAGTTGAAGGTGGCAGGAGGGCATGTTGCCAGTTAGTTCATCCTCTGGTCTCACCTGGGAGGTGAGGCTGTCCTGACTTCACACAGCAGGTCAGAAGCCAGGTCCACCCACAGGGCCTTGCCTCCCACCGCCATGGCAAGCCATAAGAAGAATGGGAGAACGAACTACCCTGTGTCAGGAAAAACACACACACACACACACACACACACATACGCACACACACACACACAAACACCCCAACCTTCAGGGACCCAGGAGATACACACCTTGCCAGGCATGAAACAATCCCAACTTGTTCTCTGCTTAATTTAGAGAGAGAGATGTCAAATCTACCCAAGAGCCCCCCATGACAACGACTCTCCCCCAATCCCAACCCCAACC